TATAACCAATGATGTAATATTCAAATATTAATTAGATACAGTTACAAAAATAAAGGCCTATACTGTGGTGTGTGCAATATATGTTTTGTGCACTTAAGTGCTATGATATAAGAACAGCCTCCTATTCTTCTCTACCCAAAATTGCCCAGAACTATTTCTCCTGATTCAGACCTGATTTAACACCACACCATACCTTTTTGTCCAGCCCATAGGCAATGGCAGCTGCTGTGGGCTCATTGATAATTCTCAGGACGTTGAGCCCTGCAATGGTTCCAGCATCTTTCGTAGCCTGGCGCTGGGAGTCGTTGAAATAGGCTGGGACAGTCACCACTGCATTGGTAACAGTCTGAAAAACAGCAACCAACAGCTCAGTTATCCATGCCAACTGCTCAGAGAATCACTCACGACATTCCACTCGAGTCCTAAACCTCACCTTTCCAAGATAAGCCTCTGCAATTTCCTTCATTTTGGTTAAAACCATGGAAGAAATTTCTTCTGGGTAGAAGCTCTTTGTCTCGCCCTTGTACTCCACCTGCACTTTGGGCCTGCCAGCATCGTTCACCACAGTGAAGGGCCAGTGCTTCATGTCAGACTGGACCACAGAGTCGTCAAATCTGCGCCCAATCAACCGCTTTGCATCTGCAAAACACGATTTGACCAGGAATATTATGTTTATTCACAATTAAAAACACTAAGTCCTTCCTAAAAATGCAGAAAACTGTGGAATATTATCCTTAATCTGGAATTATTACTGTCTGGGCGCAGGCATTGCTGACTTTCACCTCTTGGATATGCACAAACTCAGTGGTACCACCTCAGAAATGCTGCAGCTGGACCATAAACCAGCCTGAGACAGTTAGTTAAGGCCATTTAAAACAAACTGCCAAGAAATCCTGCACCAAGGCAAATTTTTAGCCCTAAGGCAAAAACCTTCCTTGCATATAATATAAAATTAATTAGCAGTAATCTAACTGTATTAATCAGGCTAAAAACAAATTAGGGATTTTAATTTGCAAGAGGAAGCTCTAAGGCTGCTATTAGTAATTACTGTAATCAGGTAACATTTATCCCTTTGCTCAGCTTCTTTACACCAAGTCTGGCAGTCCTGCAGCCTTACCAAACACTGTGTTGGTTGGGTTCATGGCCACCTGGTTCTTGGCAGCATCTCCAATCAGCCTCTCTGTGTCTGTGAAGGCCACGTAGCTCGGTGTGGTCCTGTTGCCCTGGTCATTGGCAATGATTTCCACCTTCCCGTGCTGGAACACGCCAACACAGGAATAGGTGGTGCCAAGATCGATCCCGACAGCTGGTCCCTTCGACATCTTGTCTGGAAAACAAAAACAAAAAAAAAGTTTAATTAAAAGGCAAGAACTGCTGAAGGTTGCCCAGAGAAGCTGTGGCTGCCTCATCCCTGAAGACTTCAAGGCCGGGTTGGAGCAACCTGCTTCAGTTAAAGGTGCTCCTGCTCGCAGCCGGAGGTTGGAAGCAGTCGATCTGTAAGATTCCTTCCAATCTGAATTACCCTGCTACTGCAGGATGAGCCCCGCAATCCCGTTCCCGTTATCCCACGTGGCAGCGGGATCACACCGGCTGCATTCCCACCTTCCACCGCTTGGCGTCCTTTGCGCCACTCGCACCACGTGGCGCGCGACTACAAGTCCCGGCGTGCCCCGCGCCGCCCGCGCCGCGTGACGGGCGCAGCGGGGCGGGCCCGGGGGCTGCCGGGAAATGGAGTCCGCGCCGGGCGGGCCGCGGGCGCTGGCACAGCCCCAGCCCCGTGCGGCACCCACCCCACTGCGATCCGTCCTCCCGCAACACCCCATACGGGGCCGCTTCTCCACTCTCCCCCCCTTCCTCCCCGCCTTCGGGCACTACATCACCCAGGGTGGCCCCTTAGGGAGCCAACTTAGGCGCTGCGTCTCCTGCAGTCCTCCCCCTCCCGCCCTTTCACCAGACGCGCGGGGGGGAAAAGGGGGGGGGATGCGGCGGGGAAGGAGCGGAAAAACCGCTCACAGACCAGGAGAAAACCGGGGATAAAAAAAAAAACCACTGCAGCGGCAAAAAAACGCGTCTGCACCCGCCATTTCAGCCCGATCCCCGCAGCGAAAAGCCCTCTCAAGATACAAAACCACCCGCGCCCTCCTGAAGCCGGCCCAAAGCTCCAAAGCTCCCTCTCTCCGCGCCTTCCCCCACGCAGCCACATCCCCCGCACCCCCCGCGTGCTGCACAGTACCCCCCCAGCGCCATTACCCGCAATCCGGCCCGGTCTGTTTCTCACACGGGAACAGAGGCTCCGCTCAGCTCCTGTTCGCTCAATGCCCCGCGCCCGCCGAGCCGCCTTTTTATACCCGCCCAGAACCTTCCAGAAGGACACGCCCCCCGAGCGCTGCCCGGGCCAATAAACGCGCGGGTTCCACCCCCTTGCCCGTCGGTGATTGGTCGCCGTCCTGCGTGACGCGCACCGGAAAGGGGCGTGGCGCGCCGGCCGGCCCCGTGTTCTGGAACCTTCATGCGCTTTCCCCGCGCACCCCCCTCCCGCTACGAGTGGGGCGGGGCTTCCCGTGCGCCGCGGCCAATCAGAGCCCGCGTCTCCGGCCGCGCGCGGGTGACGACCCCCAGGGGCGGGGACAGGGAAGGGGCGGCAGCCAATGGGCGCGCGGCGCGCCCGGGTTTCGTTTGCATATTTCGCAACGGGGCCAATGGGAGCGCGGGAATGGAGGCTGATTTGCATAGAGGGAGAGCGGAAAGGGGGGCAAGAAGATGGCGGCGCCATGAGGGGCAGCGACAGCAGAGGTCCTGTGGGGTTAATGAGCGTTAATAATTAAGAGATCCTGTGTCCCCGGGATCCCGCTGTACCCTCAGAATTCCCTCCTCCCCCCCCCCCCCCCTCCGGGAATGGCGGCATTTCCCGTTGCTGTGCTCGCAGCCCATCCCCACAGCCTTCCCCACAGCGTGTGCTCAGTGAATCTCCCCGGCACAATAATCACCGTCCTCCATGTTCCCTTCAACAAGGCTCCCGGATTTATCCCCGCGCCCCCTTTTTCTCCCAGGAAACCACGTTTGTGGTGTTTTAGGGTGACACGGGGTTTTTCCACAGAGCAAAACCCACCTCAGCGTCTCCCTGCTCCATAATCCATCCCAACTGTCCTTATCCATCAGCAGCTCCAAACCAAGCCAAGGCACAGGGTGTTCCCACAGCTTGGCATGTCCCTGCTGCTCACTCGCAGCTCCCAGCAGGGATTATTTCTGTGGAAATAACGGAAATAATGTGGAAAGCAGGCTGTCCCACATCCCTTGGGATCCAGGGAGCACGTGGACACCACACAAACACTGCGATGGTCCCAGCACATGAGGCTTGAGCAGAGGTCAGGAATCACCTGAGGTCAGGCTGAGGACTCAATCCAATGTTTACACGGCATAAAGGGCAAGTGGGAAAAGTCAGGGAGTCACCAGGAGGAGGGAACACAAGATAAGAGCTCTCAGCGTGACCCCTGACCAGGTACACCTCACCCTGTCCAGAGCACACCCTGCTCCCACCTTACACCAGGGATGCCCCTCGGTGTAACTCACACTCAACACATCACACACAGGTGCAGTGCTGTTAGCCTTTGGAGGTTTTTTTTGTTTGTAAATCATGAGCAGAATTCCACTAGGACCTGAGAACAGCAGCACCTGCACCTCAAAATTCCACAGTGACATTTAGATGTGCAACCACACTTGGCAGAGCAGAGTGATAGCAAGTGAAGGGAGCCTGGAACAGCAGTGAGTCAGTGCAGGGAGGAGGGCAAATGACTCATTACATTAGGAATTAAAGGCTGTTAACGAACTGGACCAAAGTAGTTCATTTACTGTGTATCAGAAAAATTAAGGTTTGGCAGGCTGGACACTGTTAAGTATTTTGTGTGGAGTTTCTTCAAATTACTGATTCCAGTTATTTCTGGACATGAATTTAGTATGTTAGGGATCAAGCACTGCTTCTCCTTTAAGAGTTTGAAACAGAATTGGGAGGAGAATAGAGATTATCAAAGACATTCCTCCTGCTCACAGCAGCAACATTTATTTATACAACACTTGCATCTGCACTCCCTGGTTGAAGTTTGACAATCACACATTTGCAAGGCCATCCCTTCCCTCTCCCACCACATTCTCCCCCTCCAGTGTGTCAGTACAAACGGATCCAGGTTAAAAATAACCCCAGATTCGATACTGTACAAAAGTATGCAACTGCTCCACTCCTCTGAAAATCCCTAATCAGGATTTTTAATGTCACCAACTCCAGTGGGAGCTAGTTGACGGCGTTTTCTCATGAATCAGGGACAGCCAGGACACACTTATGAGACCACTGCATTCTGTTTTAAATCCTGTCTGGTGATGTTGCAATTTTTACTCCCAGATTTCAGTAAGGAGCATTGCTGATGTGGGGAGACCTCTGCAAAACACCCTCGGGGAGAGGAGGTTGAGAGAAATCAACCACAATGACGTTTAGTTACCCTTAAAATCCCACCTCCAGCTCCCACACTGGAGATTCCTGTTGGCTGCCTCAAACTGTTCATCTGCAGAGAAGATCTGAACTGTCTGAGCACGGGTCAGGTGGTTCCAGGTTTCCTTGTCACCTCACAGCCCAGGAGATCAGTGAAACACGGGCTGGTTCAGCAGTAAGGTCACAGGAGTGGGAGGATAATGTCACCAGGGGTTTATATCTGTGCTGGCACTATTTACCACCTCCATCCTCAGCCAAAATATCTCAGGTGGAAGAGCTCCATGGAAGACAAAACACCACTCACTCGGTACACCCAAGGTCTCACACATTTCATACCGTGGCCTGTAATTTAGACTGAAAAATATCCAGGAAAAAAACCAGTTTCTCCATGTTTCCATGCAAATATGCAAATAGTCCTCATTGGCTTAAAAATGGTATTTTTAACTCCATAGTTTTTCCCTTGGATTCAGCTTGACAACATGTAACACATCACACCACAGAAGATGGAGCACTGTGCGAGTTGAGTTGAGCTGCAGCACTTTAGCTGCAGCACCTTTATTTATAAAACAACCAACCAAAAAAAAAATTATGAAATCATTGATTCAAAGGAATCAATAATAAATATTTGCTTTCCTCTGAGCTGTTCAGACACAGTACAAGTACACCAATTATAGCAGGTAGAGGAGATGGAAGCTTAGTTCAGCTGCTGAGAAACAAAAGAAAGCTACATAACATGGTCTTTAATCACACAAGTAATAACTGGTATATGACAGTAAATGCTTTAATACACTATTTTACAAAGAGTTTGGCTTATGGTTCATTTGCTTCCCTTGTGCAACTCCTGAAAACGGAATACCTTTGGAATGATCTCTTTCTCCTGTTCCCTTTGAGTAAGGAATTTTCCCTCTGGGTTTCCTGCTGGCAGCAGAAGTGCAGCACTGACTTTGTGTTCCCCTGGGAGATCTCTGATGTGGGGGCTGGAAAGCACCTCAGTGTTTCAGAGTTAGTGATTTTAAATCATTGTGGTGCCCACGTTCCCTAAGCAGGGCCACACACCTTTGTTGCATGGCAGGAGAGGTGCTTTTTCTGGCAGGGTTTCTATGCAGATACCTGGATAGCAGGTACCTCAACTGCTTCCCAACAGGGCTTGGAACAGCCAGGAATGATCACACATTCCAGGCTTCAGCCATTCCTCCAACTGACCTTCACCAAAAGGCTCATAAACCTCTCAGCCCCTGCAGCCACACTGATGCCTCACAGGGCAAGGAGTGACTTCTCTGCTCCAGGAGGGTTGGGACACCAGGAGAGGGTTGCCACAGCTGATCTGTCCTGCAGCTAATTCCCAAAGGCCTCCAGAAACTCCTCCAGGAGCAGGCTGGTGCATTCTCCGAGCCTCCAGGCTGCAGACAGGGGATCCTCCTCCCTAATAATTATAAATCTGGCCCGTGACTCAAAGCAAACCTTTGGTTCTCAGGCTGGGACCAGCTGAGCTGTTGGAATTGTCACCCTCAGTTTGTGGTGAGGAGTTCCTGGTTGCCCAGGCAGGAGAGAAGCACTCGGGGGTTTGTGTGCACGGAGTGAGGATCCTCAGCTGCAGCACAGGTGACATGAAGCACAATAGGCAGCCATAGGAGAAGCCCCAAACTGCTTCAGCCATCCTATTCCTGCTCTTGGGATTCCCCCAGGGCTCTGGAAAAGAGCAACTGCAGAGGAATCACAGGCACTTAGAGCTGCCTCTCCAAACAGCTGATCAGGAATGTGCTCCTGGAGCACCCAGGGAAGCTCTCTGGGTAAAATGACAGAGTATCCAACACCAGGATCCAACACCATGGAAGCAGCAGCTTATCAAACACCTCCTACCAGCTCCCCTTTGCTTAAACCTTAAACTCAGGATTGTCTTCCTTGCACAACATCAGCACTTTGTCCTGCCAAGGGTTGACTCAGGGGTAGAGAAAGCGAGTGAAATTTTGGTACATCTGATGAAAATGAGTGACTACTCCTAGGAAAAGAGGTTCTCATATAATATAGGGGAAGTTTGAAATCTATTTCCCATATGGAAGCAGCCCAAGCAGGGCTTGGCTGTGATCAGGTTCTTTAAGATCTCAAGTAAGGAAGTTATGATTCCAACCCTTAGTCAAAAAAGGAGATAAATTACAGTCCTGGAGTGAAAGAATTATAGATCTGTGGTTCTTCTGTGCAGGTCCATCTTCTATAGACTCATCCCACAAATTGAAGAAAACCTTCCCTCCCCTCAAATGGAAAAAAAAAAAAAGTCCACCCTCTTTTTTTTTTAACAGAAAATCATCAGTCCAGGAATACAGGAATCTAAAACCTACAAGCTCAGTGTCTTGTGTGTAGCAGTGGTCAGAGCCAAGTCCTTCAGAGGAAAATACAAATGACAGAACTCTGCATCTGTCTCCCATCCTTTCCTATTGGCCTTCAACTTGAAGTGTAAGACTTTATATTCCTTGCAAATGTTTAGTCTGGTTAATCACAAAAAATATTTGTTACAATTCTTGCAGTTTTTTAAGAACCTTGCTAAAGGTTTAAGCCTCAGCTATAGCACGTGGCCCAGCATTTGGTGTAGGAATGGGACAATGCACACAAATATCTCCTGGTGGAAGCAGCATTGTGCTTTTTTACCTGTCCCAGGTGTGTTTTCCTCATGTCCTTCAGTCTTACCTGGAGGCCACCTCAAGAGTGCTGTTGGTTTAGTCTTGGGAAGAGCTCTCCATAAGGCTTCTACAGCACAGCTCCCCCCAAAACTGGGGAATTCACCACCTGCCAAGGACAAATATCTTCCAAATGCTTCATCCAGGCTTTTTGGTAGATTGGTGGCCCTCCCCTTCTGAGGAACTGCCTCCCTTCTGGATTCAGGGCCCAGTTCTCATCTCACTAAGGCTCATTTGCCACAGATCCCACTCCAGAGGGGTTTCTGTGGCTTTGCAGTGCTGGCCATGAAAGCAGAGCAGGCTCCAGGCCGTGTCTCTGGGTGCACCAGTAAGTTTATTCTGGCAATTAAAGCACCTCTGTTTTCTTGACATAAAAGGTCCTTTCTCTTTAATACAGAGTTCAGTTCAGACACTTGCCTTAATACTGCATCTCCTGACCTGTTGGAGTGATCCTTTCATTTCCACTTCAGTTCCAGCCTCCAAAAGCATTTCACTAGGAGACTGAATGGAGAAAAAGTGAAGCACCTTCAGTCCCCTTTGAGGCTGGACACCAGCCTGCCCTCAAAATCTTCAGGTGAGACCATGCATCTTTGAGAAAGTTCTCCAAAACTGGTACAAGAGACTTCTCCCTCCCCACAAAACCTCTCTCTGGCACATTATGCATCTTTATGTCTCTGTTGATCCCTTTTAAAAAATCCTGAGGTTTGGTTTCTTTTCACCTGCACAGCGCTTTGCTGTTGCAGTTTTTAAATGCTCAGTGTTCCATTTCCAAAAAAATAAAAAAAACCCAATAAGAGATAATTTAAAAAGAAGCTCCCTTTTCCCTCAAATGCCTCCCTTTTCCCTCAGATGCCTCCCTTTTCCCTCAAATGTATCTTTCTTCAATAAAAGAAAATCCCATATCGGAACTTCAATAAAAGAAAATCCTGTATCATAACCTCAGTGCTGGAAGATGTACGAGAGTTAAGTGGGAGGGCTTCTTGTGGTGTGAATAATCACGAGTGATTAAAATGAAGCTGACCAGGAAGATAATTAGCTAATCTAACAACTCCTATGTGGCTGGTGGTGTGTGAAGTGTTTCTGGGCAGCAGGAGCCTCCCGAGGGTCACACGGTCTGGAACGCCCGGCTCTGGGCAGGCACCATCACCAGCGTGGCTCCCATTTTCATCAGGTTGTTGTAGTCGACCTTCTTTGGCTCCATCTCCTTCCCTTCCATCTCCCTCTGGCTGTACTGGGGAGGGGTGAGGTGAGGGGTGGCTTCCGTGGACAAAGTCCGCTGGCTGCGGGAGGCACTGTTGGCTGTGGACCTGGTGGAGGAGGAACCTGAGCGGGAGCTCCTGGAGCCAGAGGAGGAGGAGCTGGGCTTGACCAGATGGGCCTTGGGTGCCTCTGCATCTTCTCTGCAACCAAACAGATGGCAGGGGCTCAAACACCACTTCCTCATTTCGCCACTGCCATAAGCAGTTGCTCCCTGAAGCTGCAAATCACCAGGGAATATCTGTCCAGGAATAATTTCTGTTATCTGCTTTCAGAATTCTGTGCTTTGTAACTTGGTGGACTGAACCCCCCTATTGCCCTGCAGAGCTGCTGGTCAAACAGGTTTGGAATAAACACACACACAGCTCTGCTTGTGGAACAAATAACAAATACCAAGTGTCACTGCAAACAGCTCAGATAGAACTGTCTGCTCTGTAATCCTGACTCATAATGAGAAATGGCCTGGGCAAAACTAGCTGAAACCAGTTCTTCCACTTAAAATAACCTGTGGGTAGAGAAAGAAGTGCAAGAACTGGGTCCTGAGAGAAAGAGAGAGAGGATGTAACAGTCAGGCGTGAAAAGGTGATACAAGAGGGTGAGGCTCCAACTGAAAATTCATGCAAGGTGAGAAAGAGAAGAAAGCAGGAAAAAGGGAAGGGAAGGAATCAGCAGAGGCTGCTTTCAGGCTGGCAACCTGAGTGTGAGGCAGAGGAATCAGCTGCTGAAGGGATTACAGAGATGTCATATGAGGGCAGTCATACAAATAGACACAAAGATGGATCAAGGCACAGGGGTTGTTTCTTCAGGGCGGGAGCAGCTAAAACTCCTTCCTGGAAATAGATCTTTCCAGTGCTTTCCTTCCTGGGTTGGCTGGAGACCAATCTCTGCTTAGGGGAGTTAAGGGGCAGGCCTGGAACAGATGAGCTCCAAGAACATGTGTCAGCATTGCCGGGGTGAGGGTGTCCCCTCACACAGGGCTCAGGGATTGCTCACCCCGGCTAAATCCAGAGCACAGTTGTTCAAAAGGCTCAAGGAGGACTGAGAGAACCTGCCAGTCTTGGAGCATTCCCAATAAAAACTGCGATTGAAAAGGAGGAAGGAGAAGGAGAGAGAAGGAAACAGAAAAGGAGGAGAAAGAAGGTGAAGGAGAAAGAGGAGGAGAAAGAAGGAGAAAGAAGGAGAAAGAGAAGGAAAGAAGGAGAAAGGAGGAGAAGGAGAAAGAAAGGAGGAGAAGGAGAAAGAAAGAAGGAGAAGGAGAAAGAGAAGGAAAGAAAGAGAAAGAAGGAGAAAGAAGGAGAAAGGAGGAGAAGGAGAAAGAAAGAAGGAGAAAGAGAAGGAAAGAAGGAGAAAGAGAAGGAAAGAAAAGAAAAGAAAGAGAAAGAAGGAGAAAGGAGGAGGAGAAAGAAGGAGAAAGAAGGAGAAAAAGAAAGAAGGAGAAAGAGAAAGAAGGAGAAGGGGACAGAAAGAAGAAGGAGAAATAAAACCCCCCAAACCCTCTCAGAGCCACAATGGACAAGTGGGTTGGATTTAACAGCATAAAAGATTATGCAAATGCTTTAAAATGCTGAAATTGCAAATGGGAGAGAGAGTTTTATGATGATTTGCCCTGGGGTGTGTGGGGGAAGTTTAATCTGATTTTCTGGAAAGTCTTCACAGAGATTCTCACAAGTGAAGAAATTTGTCAGTGCTATTTCACAGAGACTTTAAAAGCTATTTAGAACAAACTTTAGCAACACTTATCCCTACTTACAGCTACTTAAATCTTTACTGAAAAGATGTGTGAAACTGCAAGGAGGGAGCGTGGGAGGTGGGGGATTAAGTGCAAGGCGTTACCTGATTTCATTTGGTGCCTCCTCTTCCTCATATCTCTTCTTTTCTTTCCTCCTTATCGTCAGCCTCACCACCAGGAGGAGGAGGGAGAGTCCCACCACCACCCCACACGCTGCCCCGGCGATCATGCCGATATTTTGGGCATCTGTTGTCCGGAAAGGAGATAGATTAGTTGATAAATTCTCACTGGAGTTGCACGGTCAGGTTCTAGTCCCCACTACAACTTATAGCACCGGGTATAAACCAGAACAGAAGGTGTCAGTTTATTTATTTAGGTGTGTCTCCACACAGAAGTTGAACCAGTTTATCTCCAGGCACTGTTGCTGAAGCTGAGCTGAGGGTGAGAAAAGCTCTGGAAGGGTGGGATCACAAGTGCTGTGCCTTCAGCTGTGGGTCAGAGTGAAACGAGGAGGAAAAATCCTCCCCTCTGAGCACAGCCACCGAAAGTGAAACATGGCACCGAGAAGGTTCCTGGAGGCACAAGTGTGTTCGAACTGCGAATATTTTCCCGTGAGGATTTTTTTCCCCCCCTTCGACTTACCCTGAAGTGATTACAACCCCTTTTCCAGAAGGAATTATTTAATCGTGGGGAAAAAGTGACCCGAGCTGGGTCAGAGAGAGGAAGAAAGAGGTAGAAACAAAAAGCATCCTGTGCGTGGCATTTTTCCTCCAAAACAGAAAAGATGACACATTTCCCAGCGATTACGGGCCTTTGGTTGCTACTTTATGACAACTTCTGGTCGGTTAGGATGGGCTTGGCTAAAAGTTGTTTCCTTAAGGCTGGTCCCTACGGAGGGTTTAGCAAACCCGAGTGAGGTTTTAAACCAATTCAGTTCAATTGGCATAAAAGCTGCCCGGACGCTTTTACTTCAGATGCCTGAGGCAAACCGGTTTTCCTTGCTGCATGACCGTATTCCAATTATTTCAGGCTTGGCCGGGCAGAAAAAGTTCCAAAGCTGTGGAATCTCCAAGAAGAGACCTCACCATTAGCAGTCTTTTATCACAGCAGTTCCAGCTCCTGCTGATCTCCTTTGAGAGCTGCTAAACTCTGTTGTTTGGATTTTTAGGTGCTAAACTCCACCCTTTTCCTGGCATGAATATGCAAAGACGCTCCACCCTTGATGGGTTTTATCAGGCAGAACACAGATTTTAACTTCTGGTGCTCCGGACAGAATTTATTAAATTTGGATTAAAACCAAAATGTCAACAGTTGCTCCACGTTATTCCGTGTCACAAGCAGCCCTTCCATCTGTATTTAGATAGTTTAGTGTCCCGAGTGCAACAGATAAATAATTTGGAATTGAATTGATGGAACATCCCACAGAGAGAGTTTATACCTGAGAATAATATGCAACCACTCCAGCCAGAAGTACCTCAAAAGCTGCAGGCTCTGGAACCTTTAACTCACAGTTTCCCATCCTTTTATGCCATTAGTCATTCTGAAAATCAACATTTCTAACAGACCGAAAAATCGGAGCCCAAATGATGTTTTAGTCACTTTAGGTTGTCATGGTTTTTGTCACTCTAGGTTGTGATGTTTTTTGTCACTTCAGGTTGTGATGTTTTTATCACTGTAGGTTATACAGAGGGCTGCTGTGCAAACCCTAACTGCAATAAATAAGTATAAATAAGAACTATTTTATGGGATTAAAGTACAAAAGGGCAAAGGTGTGGCCCCACGTGTGTGAACCCCAGTTTGCAGCAGTACTTACGCTGCACTGTCACCTGCACAGCACAGCTCTCCTGCCCAGCCTCGTTGGTGGCCACACACTGGTACAACCCCGTGCTCATCTGGGTGAGGTTCTTCAGCAGGACTTGCCCAGGATTAGAAATGTCTGAAACGGGAGAAAACACCACTGGGATTAATCAACCAAGCTAAAAAAAACTTTAACCGAGGGTAGGACGCAGCAGCGCAAATTGAACCTGTGGATCAAATGAGTCCCAGGGCAATCAAAGGGTCAATAAAGCATCGAACAAACTCCTCCTGCTCCGGGTGGAGCACCCCACAAGGTCTGGCTGCAGCAGTGAGAGGAGCTGTGGGATCATCCCTGTCACTGCCACCAAGAAATCCCATTTTTAGAGCAGGCAGGTGACTGTCCATGGGCACGGCCATGTGGGAGTTATCCGGCTCTGAGAGCTCCCAGAGCTCTGGGAACTGCCCCAGCTCACTGACCCTGGAATTGAGGAACTGCCCCGGCTCACTGACCCTGGAATTGAGGAACTGCCCCAGCTCACTGACCCTGGAATTGAGGAACTGCCCCAGCTCACTGACCCTGGAATTGAGGAACTGCCCCAGCTCACTGACCCTGGAAATGAGGAACAAGGCTGGTGAAGGGACTCAAGCACAAGTCCTATGAAGAGAGGCTGAGGGAGCTGGGGCTGTTCAGCCTGGAGAAGAGGAGGCTCAGGGGAGACCTCCTCACTCTCTACAACTCCCTGACAGGAGGGGGGAGCCAGGTGGGGGTTGGTCTCTTTTCCCAGGCAACCATCAGCAAGACAAGAGGGCTGGGTCTTCAGCTGTGCCAGGGGAGGTTTAGGTTGGAGATTAGAAAGAATTTCTTTCCAGAGAGGGTGATCAGCCATTGGAATGGGCTGCCCAGGGAAGTGGTGGATTCTCCATCCCTGGAGGTGTTTAAGGACAGACTGGATGTGGCATCAGTGCCATGGGCTGGGAACCACAGCGGGGTTGGATCAAGGGTTGGACTGGATGATCTCAGAGGTCCCTTCCAACCCAGCTGATTCCATGATTCTGTGAATGAACTGCCCCTCTGGAATTGAGGAACTGCCCCTCTGGAATCGAGGCAATACCCGGACTTACTGACTCTGGAGTTGGGTGGGAGGTGCTCAGCTCTGTCCTCCTCGTCGATGCGCTGCCAGCGGTAGGAGATGGGCAGGGTGCCAGAGGCAGAGCGGCACTGCAGGGACAGCTCCTTCCCTTCCAGCATCTCCCCCTCCAGCCAGCACTTGGGCTTGGAAGGTTTCTCTAGCAGGAGCAGAAGACAGGTCATGCAAACACAGCGAACCCTTTCTTTGGCAAGGTACAGTCGTTGCAGCTTCCAAGAGCTGCTTTCCCTGGAAGGTGTTCAGGAATCACACCAGTGATGGGTTTTAGGGGACTTGAGCTGCAGTTGTGTGCAACTTCTCAGTGTGTTTATGATACTCTGTGGGGCTGTACCACCACGTTCCTCTTCTGGGCACTATTTAGAGAACATCCTTTCCCTCCCCCTACTTCCCCATTTCTTCCTTCTCCCCACAGTATCTGCCAGGACACAGCACTTCTTCCACGGGATCACGGTGTACATGGAAAAGCCAACCTATGAGCTGAACTCAGGGAAAGGAAATACTAATTATGGCAGCTTATTTGTCACCTCCACTGACTTGGGACCAGGCTGGGGTCCTGGGACATGAACTCACAGTGCACAGCAGGAGATCTGGACAGGGTGATCAGCCCAGTTTGGGTGATGAGATCATAGGGATAATTTAAAGAACAGTTCATATGTTGTTGTGGATAATCACTTACCTCAAACCCACTCTTCGGGCTCTTCCTGTGGCCTGTCCTTTGCCAAAAAAACGCAAAGGCAGATATGGAGTTGGACAGGGAAACCTGACTGTGAGATGTCTCTGTGCATTAATACCCTGCTGAAATAAATCTCTCTCCAGGAAGCGAGTCTGGAATTATTTTTTTTTTTTTTTTTTTTTTTTAGCAATAAAGTGTCCTTACCTACCACCTTGAGGGTGATTCGAGACCATTCATACTGCCCAGCATTTTTCACCTTGCAGATGTACTTCCCTGCATCGCTGGACTGCAGGGAGATGATCTGTAAGGAGGCATCTCCAGCCAGGAAGTTGGATGTGAAGGAAACACGACCTTTCTGCTCCTCATTCAGGTCATCATAGACACGGCCCCCGGAGTAGGTGATCACCTGAGGGGCACAGACAGGCACTGACAGCCAGCTGGGATTGTACTTTCACACAGAACAACAAATAAAGCCTTTCCAGGAACTCCAGCCCAAGGTTCTGCCTGGTGAAGTGACTTGCCAAGGGTCACACAGGAAACCTGTGGCAGGGTGGAAAATTAAACCTGGATTTCTAGTCTGAGAATGGTACATAAAGTGTATTTATGCTAGAGATTGGAGCATTTATACAACTGTCAAAACAGACATCGGCTCATGTCACAATATATCAAAGCAGTCTGTAGGCTTGGCTGAGCTAATTTAAGTTACTGCAGACCTCATTTTTACAAGTACTGAACTCCTGTATGTTTTTCCTGAAACCAAGGATTCAAAAACTGGGCCTGCAAAATCCAAGGTCGTTTTGGAAAACCTGAAGGGCAGTTCTGAACTTGAAATATTATCAGTCACCCCTGGATAAAGGAAACGTGGTTGTAACAGAACCTGCTCCAACACAGCACGTGTGGCTATCAAATAACCTCTATACATGATAAATCTCTCTAAATCAGCCGTGTTTTCTACAGGTCAGCAGAGTAACTCGCAGAGATCATCACAGGAGTTTTGTTAAATCAGTGGCTGGTGGTGTCAAGGCAGAAAGAAGAGGATTTTCTCAGCAAACCTACCGCTTTCTGCACGGTTTCCGAGATGTGCAGCAGCCACTCGATGTCCAGGCTGCCCTGCTCCAGGAGGCCCAGGCTGTGGTGACAGGGCAGGGTCACGTTTTCCTCAGCCACCCTCTTAAACTCAGTCTGAGCCTTGCACATCCAAACAGAACAGGAAGCTGAAAAACAGATTACAGTGGTCACAGCCTGGGGGGCATCTCTGCCCTGGTGGGTCTCACCAGCCAGGTCTCGGCTGGATTCCTCCTCATTTGCTTCCCAGCATCAAAGAAAACCCACCAGCTTGGCTTCCTGGGCAGATTGCAGCTGATGAAAGGGGACATTTCTACAAACACAGGCATTTTCACACCAATATTGGAGGAGGGAGAGCAGATGGCTTCACACTGCAGAGCTGTCAGTACTGAAGTCACACCCACACCCTCTGTGCACTCCAGATAAACCCCTCAGTTTTGCCTTCAGCTCTTATCACCTTAATTTATAAGCAGTAATTCCACCCAGATATCCCTCAGAGCACATCACTTTATCCCTATATCAGTCTGGCAAGGCTTGGAGTCTCTTCCCTGATGATGCTCTTTTATTTCAGCACTGGAAATAAGAGTGGCCTGGGAGGAAGAGGGTTAAACTTAAGAAAAGCGTGGTACAAGTAGGACAGGGAAGTGTCTTTGAACAGCAACGTCAGGAAAAAATATAAATTGCCAAAAAGCGTTTGTCAGGATTTTAAACAGAAAGAAAAATGGGAGGAAAGTGCCAAGTGGACCCACTAGAGGGAAGCAGAGCCCTTGAAATGTCAGCCAAAAAACCCAAAACGTGTGTTAACGCCCTAAAACCTGGCCCAGGAGATGATACACGGCAGAAAAATAGGATGTTCGGCCAGCACTGCGTTAGGCACTGTCTGTTCGAGTTTTGACACTGCATCCACGCTAAAATTGAATAAAAATCAGGGATCGATTCTTGGCTTTGCCCATCTCCAACTTCTGAATGTGGACACGCCATGGTAAGTTCAAAGAGTTAAAAACTGAACCTAAAGATCAGAGGTGTGGAAAATTACAGACATTTGGGGTCAGGAATCCCCCAGGTCTGCCCTGGCACCAAATATTTTCCAACCAAGTTTCCATGGGGATTTCTAGGGCACAAATGCCATCTGCCTCCTGGGTATGAATCCTCAGAGGGCAGTTGGGTTGTTCTTCAGTTTTGTTGTTCAAGAGAAAATCCTAAAAACATGAGTTTTTTCCCTGTGAAAAGAGAGATTAAATATTTTGCTTCTTGGGCCAAATATTGTGAAACTGGGAGAGTTCACAGCCCTGGGAAGTCACATTTTGACTGAACACACAACCCACAGCAGGAGCATAAGCTGTTCCAGTTACACAGGCTGAATTTGTTCCTATATTTGTATTTAAAGAGTGGATCCTCAACCTTCCCTTTACCTTGAAGTGAAAGACAGAGAGAAAAATTACATCCAAGACAACACTTGTTCAGCTCTGTTCCTTCCGGAGCAATTTGGAAAATTCCTTTTGGAAATTCGAAAATTTAGAATTTGGCTTTTAGAAAATTCCTTTTATTCTCAGACCTGCCTCTGAGTTGTTACCATGAGCATCCCTCAGCTCCTAATTTATACTTCCCAAACACTGTATAAAAAGGTATCATCTACTACACTCATGCACCTTTATAGAACGCCCAGAATTATAAGACAGGTGGAGCCTCGCAAAGGATTAATCTCTCCTCCCCTGCATTGATCCCGGCATGAATTGATGACAGTGAAAGCTCCTTTTCAGCCACATTAGCTGCTTTCTTTAAAGGGAAGAGTAATCCAGTTTATCACTGGATTCGCTGCTCTCAAAGCTCCATCTGCCAAATACAATTACAGTCGTGCCCAGGACGAGCCCTACTCTCCCCTCAGCTCCAGTTGCTTCGGGCTGCCCTCATTAACGCCCTCATTAACGCCGGCCCTCGTTAGATGGTGATCAATAACCTTAATTTAGCCACCACAATAGGGACCGTTCGCATCCCATTTGCGGTGTTGTCAAAGCCCCGTGCCAGCGGAGCGCTGAGGGTTTGGGCACACTGCGTTTTAAAACTTGACTTTACGTTAAAAGTCTCGGTTAGCATTAAAAATCGCCGCTTGGGAGGGTGTAAGAAATATCATTTTCATTCCTTTCTAGCTTGGACACACCGGTTTTAGGAGAGCTCACAGTCTGGTACTGCTCCCAGCAAACATCCCTGGGTGTGAGGAAGGGCCTTGTGCCTCTAAACTCATCTTCTAAATGGGAATAAGAGAAGAGAAATAATGACTACAAATTTCTTCTTCTTTTTTCCAAAGGTGCCTGCAACCAGAAATAATTTGGAGCCAATTCACTGCTGAACCAATAACCAGACCCTCACACACTGTGCACACTTTTCTATAATATTATTTTTAAAAGTCTTATTAAACCCCCTTGACTTGTCTCTCTAATCCTTATTAGTGCTGTAACAATGCCCACGAGCTCCCAAAGAAGTTTGAGTTTTGCTGGTGTTTTAAACAAGACACTCAATTTTCTTGCCAGGCAGCTGTAGCTGAACAGAATTAAAAGGAAGCTCAAAACAGCTGCATAAAAGTACCCAGAGAGGTGCCAGTCACAGAAATTACCCATGAAAAATCCAGAGAGAGCTCAACATGAACAATCCTGATGTTTTCCATAGTTTGGGAAGGGTCTTGCAGTAACAAGCAGGGATGAAATGGAAATTTTAACTTCAGGCACGTGCTGGAATTTCTCTTATATACCTCAAATAGAAAAAGCAGCTAGAAACATATGCAGGTCCCTTCTAGGTTATTAAAAGTGGTTTATTATTCAAAGAAGAATAACTGCTGTCTGAAGTTGTATTTGCGGAGACGAGACCTTGCCAGAACAGGTCGAAGAAATGGGATGCTTTTAACTAAATCTCCTTCCTCCCCAGTTTAAATTTTATTTAAACGGCTGCCAGAGGAGGGTGTCTGCTTATGGACAGCCCCTTCCAGCAGCAGTGGCCGGGACACACATGGATTGCAGAGGAATTTGCCCCTGGGAGCCCCTTTCTGTGCTGGATGGTGCCCAAGCGGCTCCAAACCCTTTCCTTCCAAAGCTCCGCAGCCACGCGAGGGCAGAGCCCGCCCGGAGCCTGAAGGGCTGGATCCGGCTCGCGGGAGATGAGACAATGGATGATTTTCCCAGAAATCCGATCCAGGAGTAACGCCACATGTATGCAGGCTCCGCTGTTCTTACCCAAAAAACCCTCTTCCCCTTCCTGTGGGCAGCTCTTTGTGCTGGGAGCAGCAATTTGGGAAGCGCTTCTTCCAGCTTTGCTCAGGTTTTTACTCAGCCCCTGTCCCACGACTTCAGAAGGAGGTGGGATTGTTTTTCCTGCCTGTTCCAACAGCAGCATTTTGGAAGCCTTAAAAAAAGAAAAAGCCTTGGGTGCAGTGCCAGGCTTGGTGCAACACCACAGGAGAGCATGTTCAGCATTTGGGAAGGGGGGAGACTTTGCCTTGTTTGACTGTTCCCTCTATTGTTCAGAGCACAATAACTCACCGACACCCTGCAGACAAGGACAAAGGCTGTCTCATCCCTCACCGATGCTTAAATCTCCGGGGAACACAGAGCAACAAAGATTTTAAACAAGCCCAAAGGCAACACAGGCAGTGCCCACCCGGGTTTGGCAGAGGGAGGACACACAAAAAGGGATTTCAGCCCTCTCAGCCCCTTCTGCCTCATATGCACAGCAGATTTTAGAGTAAAAAAAAGATGTGGGCAACAGCCTGCATCCCTCTTGTGGAAAGATGTCAGCCTTAAAGTATTTCCCAGAACTCATTTCAACATTTTGCAAGGACCACTGATTTCAAAACTGTGTTTTAAAGGAGTTTGAATTTCAGCAGAGTCAGCCCTTTGAAATGGATGTGGAGGGAAGGAGCCACGTCCTGTACAACACTGAGGAAATTGGGACTGTGTATTTGGCCTTATTACAAATTATCATCATCCAAAGTAGTGTTTTCATGCCTGAATCCATACCCTGCTCACACTTACTTTCCTATACATGAGGCTCACTTGATTTTCATGCCCATCCAATAACAAGTACATGTCTATACACAAACACACATATATACCAACATCAAATATACATTAACAGACAAGCAGAATCAAAGTGGAAATGAATGTTTTGCTGACATTTTTATTTGTAGGCAAATTCTCATCCTAAAAGCTAAAGAGCTTCCAGATTTAAATCTTTCATTAAGTTCAGAAGGTTTGGATTAGGGAGCAATGCTAAAAATAGATTATGCTTTTTAAAAAGTAATAAGTTGTGCTGTATCACTTAACTGCTGGAATCAGGAGGAACAGCCTGGGGAAGAGTCAGAGAATCAAGATACAAGAAATGCATAATCATCCTTTGTAAACTTGGCCCAAACCATACCTACATTTAGGGTATGAATATCCAAAATGGGCCTTGAAAAGTTTCAGCTGCTCCAGCAAAGTTTATTCTTCAGCTACACTTACTATAATTTACCTTGGCTTTTTATCAAGGATGACATTTGCAGCAGGCTATTCCAAGACACTGATGTCCAAGGAGGAGTAGAAATAAAACCTGTAATTTTACTGCAACTTGAGACATCCTGTCCCAGCACCAGAGAGAGGGAAGAGACTCAGGAAGAGACTCAAATCTTCCCTGCACCAGCAAGGGCAGGAATTCCACTGGTATCCACACACACAGTTTATCCACTGTCTGAACAATTTCCACTCCACCTGAGATAGGTGCTCTGCCTGCTTTTGTTCATTAATATCAGAATGTTTCCTGGGTGAGAGTGTGACAGGAACAGTGAATAACCACTGATGTCAAGGCTCATCACATCCCCTCTGAAACAAGAACAGTTCCCCTACAGACAAGTTCTCAAGTGCAACCAATAATTCCGTGCTCTGATTTATTTAGAGGCTTTCCTGGGATATACTCTTAAAAGTCATTTCCACATCTGTCATTGCACTGTCTGAAAGTGGGATCCTTCTGAGAAGGAGCTTTTGGCCCTGTAGTCCTTTGAATAACACACTCTGCAAAGCCAGGACACCTCAGTGCATCCAACAGTCCCATGTTAGAGCTGGTCTCAGCTAGACCTTCAGGCTGAACTCATTTAAGGTACTCATTTAAGTACCTCATTTCAGTA